AGCTCAGTGGAGAACTGAACGTGCTCACGGGCTTCCGTACGTGGTCCCGAGCCAAAGCCCCACAGCGGTTAAGCAAAAATATGTCGTACATCTAGTATTTGATTTACCACCCAGTTCAACAGAAAACTAACTTTATCTATTTTTTTTTTCAATTAAAAGAAGTAATGATAAAATCGATAATTCCTCCAGCATTGCTTTGGTTGGTAAATTAATGTCTATCTATTGTTTTTAAATCACAAAGTGAACATAGTTATAGAAATGTAAAACGGTACTATTTTATTTTAATCTATTTAATTTTCCATTCTTGAATTATATAATGGGGTTAAAACATTGAAGAGAATTAATAGGATGAGTATTTAATTAAGCAGTAATGAGTTTCTAAATGGATGCTCGAAGAAGCTGGCTTTATAGTTATGCAAGAATCAGATAATGGTCGTAACAAAGACCATAATAATTGTGTTGAATGTTTTCTTATATTTAAAGATTTTTTTTTCTGAATTCTCTCAGGAATAGATTTGAACATAACCTAGTTTCTTGATTCGCTTTCGGGTAAATTCCAAGTGTTTTCCCATCACTCTCAAGGCCCCACGTCTTCTGACTCCTACCTCACAGTGCCGTGCAGTCCGCTGTGAACCGTTCTCCCGGGTCCCTCCTGCACTCCACCCACACCCTCCTTCTGGGCTGAAAATGCTCCGTCTCCATCTCCGCAAGCTCTCCTGCTGCCCGGCCTCTGCTCATCCTAGTGCCAGGAATGAATGCTCACGCCCCTCTCCCTCATCAACTCTTCTTCTTCTTCCACTTTCGGGGGATCTTTCCCTGATGAGCCTCCTCAAACTAGGTCAGGTACATGCCCCCACCAACACACACTGCTGCAGGTCTTCCTAGAACTACATGTTTTCCCTCTGAGCAAACAATACCTTTTTATAATTATTCGTTTCTACCTCTTTCTCTTTCCAGGCTATAATTTCCACGATAAAATATAAAATATTCCCTTTGTTTACCAATGTTTCCTAGACGGCTGGATGGATGATGCATAGGTAGAAGCTGAGTGATTGGATGAAGGATGGATGGAGGATGGATGGATGGAGGATGGATGGATGGAGGATGGATGGATGGAGGATGGATAGATGGAGGATGGATGGATGGAGGATGGAGGGAGGGAGGATGGATGGATGGAGGATGGAGAGATGGAAGATGGATGGGAGGGGGAGCGGAGGATGGATAGATGGAGGATGGATGGATGGAGGATGGATGGATGGAGGATGGATAGATGGAGGATGGATAGATGGAGGATGGATAGATGGATGGTAGATGAATAGAAGGATGGATGGATGGATAGATGGATGATGAAGAATAGATGAATGGATGATGGATGGATGATGAATAGATGGATGGATGAAATATGGATGGATGGATGATGATTAATGGATGGATGGATGGATGATGAACAGATGGATGAGTGGATGTATAGTGATTAATAGATGGATGGATGATGGATGGATAAAGGGTTGATGGGTGGATAATGGATGGATGGATGGATGGATGGATGGATGGATAAATGAAGTCCGTAGTACACACTTCAAAGAACTCCTAGGGCACCTCTGCCTTCCCATTCTGTGTGAATTCTTTGTGCACACGCTAAAATGAAGTTCTGTGGCAGCCCCTTCAGTAGAAGCAACAGGCATGAAGAGCTCATGCCCGTGAGTGAGGCTGCCCAGGATTGTCACATATACACATGGCCTACATATTGATTGTATCAATGTGTGTTGAGTATTATGCTATATTCTGAACATCAGGGCTGATTCCTCAACTGGGAACCACTGGATTTTAATGCTGTGCCCTAAGATCAGGAGAAATGAGGCTTTCAGAATCAAAGAAACTTTTAATTCATTTCCTCACACAATAAAGATGTAATTTTTACATCCCATGAAAATTTACTATGGTAAGAGCGGCCAATGGAAACAAAAGTGGGTCTACTGAAGTCATCTCTCAATTCCTCTGGAGATGTCCTAGAAATGAGAGAGATCAATTCAACCCTACCTTCTAGAACATTCGGATGAGTGGAGACATCAGCCAATGCCTCGGTCTCTCAGTCTCTCTCCTTCCACATTCACTCTCAGCCATAACCTGTTCCCACACCTTGTGTATAAGATCACTTGTTCATTTGACAAATAACTTTCTATTCACTGAGCACCAAGTGAGACTCTAGGACCAAAGCTATGAACTAGACAGACAGAAGTCCCACACACACCTCCAGTCAGTCTGGGCTGTGTTGTCATCCTGACAACATGACACTCAGATGCTCTGATTAGATACCTTCTCATTTAAGTACTGGACATAAGAACCTCTCTCTGTGGCTGGATGGGAGCCTCTCACTTTAGCAAGACCCAGGCCTAATAGTCTACCTGATTTCCTCAAGGCCAAGGGTCACAAGAACAAGAACATGTCTTCTGAGATGGGAGGACACAGTAGGGGATGGAGGACGGAGCTGAGCTATAGAGATGCTTAGTGGGCTCAGCAGCATAACTGGCTGAGAGCTTACTAAACACCAGGAAACTAGGGTCTGACCTTTGGGTCACCGCAGGATTTGGTACAGGGACCCTCCTTTCTTTTTTCTGTGTTTAATCATCTTCATCAGCAATCCTAAGATATCAATGTAATGTATCACTGAGGCCCTTCCTGGATACATGGCAGACAGAAGTAATTGATCACAGCACTCTACCCCACTAAGCCAAGATGCACCGAAGGCCCTTCAACACCAGGTCAGGCCACCTCCTCCATCCACAAGGGCAGCTGGTCACCTTGACACCTGCTTGTCAGCCTGAGACTTGGACTTGTCTCATCTCTCACCCCAGACGGTATATTAGAATGTCTGGGCCTTATCCTGAACCCCTGGATTTGTTCCAGACCAACTGAGCTAGAAAAGAACCTGGGAATTATTGCTAAACCCTGTAGGAGATTCTGATGTGCAGACAGGACTCAGAACCACCATGAGTCTGATTTTCAAGCTCAGGAATCCTGTTTTTGTTTTGTTTTATTTTGTTTTGTTTTGTTTTGTTTTGTTTTGTTTTGTTTTTGAGAGAGAGAATGAGAAGACAAAGTGGGACTGATAGGTTTTCCTTAACAGAAATCAGAGGAACCAGGTCAAAATACTTACCACTGAGGGACTGGAGAGATGGCTCAGCAGTTAAGAGCACTGGCTGTTCTTGCACAGGACCTGGGTTCAATTCCTAGCACCCACACAGTGGCTCACAACCATCCATAACTCCAGTTCCAGGGAATCTGAAGCCCTCTTCTGATCTCCATGGGCATTGTATGACACGGGTGCACCCACATATATGCAAGCAATACACTCATACACATAAAATGTGCCACTTCTGTGTGAGAGTATCTTCCACATCCCCCCCCAGCTAATCCCCATCCATCTTGGCGAACATCCTAAGAATCTTCTAGCTCTCCTTTATTGCAGACAAACAACTCACCCAGGTTTGCTGAGATGCCATAGACAAATTAGTTCCTGTCCCTGCCCGCTCCCCCCACCAACCCTCAAGATCGAGGCTCATGATTAATGATTTGAAAGTCAATGAATCAGTGGCTGCTTTCGAAGCCTCATTTCTCAAATTATTCTTCTTTGAACACAAGGCCTTTCTGACATCATCTTACGGTGTCTGGTTCTCACTGGTACTAATTGTAATTCCAAGACATTCCTTCATCTTGTCAGCTTATTGGTATTACTTGTTTATGAAATATTTGCAAACAGATTACTATTCACCTGCCGTGTGTCAGAGGTAAACACCAGAACAATGCTTTATACTTCCTGCTCAAAGGAAATTCGTTAATGATAGCTTATGAAATTCTCTATCGAAGGGAAAACTCGTTTTTCATGTATTGATCGACTTCCACCACACCCACTTGCAACAAGTTTTTGAGATGCCGTGCGATAGAAACAAGGTTCCCAGCTGCTGTTCTGCTTCCTTAGCAAGTGGTATTTTAGTCTTATGAGCTGTGGGAGAAGACCTGGGCAGGGTGAGGTTGGCTTTCCTCACTAGAGAAAGGGGCAGGTCTGGCAGGGCAGGTGTGGAGACCAACACTGCTTCCAGCCTCAAGCCCTCCACTTGTGAGTCCCTTCCTCTGACTACCTGGATATCTTGAGTTCCAAGTGAGCTATAAGAAGAAGACAGCGGGGGGCGGGGGAGATGGCTCCATCAGTAAAGCCTTCACTGCACAGCATGAGGTCCAAGTTGGATCCCCATAACCCCCATCAAAAAGCCAGGTACGGCAGCATGCAGTGTCATCCCAACAATGATGGAGACAGGAGGGTCCCTGGGGTGTCCCGGTCAGACAGTTTAACCTCATGGTGAGCTCCAAACCATTGAGAGACCCTGTCTCAAAGGAAATGGATGATATTCCTGACAATGACACCTGGGGTTGTCCACCGGCTTCCACACACATGCATGCATACACACACACACACACACACACACACACAGAACCACACCTACATGCACCCACAAACACACAATAATAAAAGCAACACGTATAAACAACACACACAATGGCTCACACTCCATGGGAGTTTACTTCTCACTCAACAGCCGTTCAGAAAAGGTGCTCATGACCACTGGCTGTTCCCTCCGTGCAGAGCCTGGGGACACAACCTTCTTCTTCCTGCGGCCCCTGGCTGTGTGCATTCAGGTAGGCAGAGGATGGAAGAACAGGAGAATCGCAGGTGCAGGCGTTCACTCATCCTCTCTTCCCCAACCCTGCCCAGCATCCTTTTTCCCACATTCTGCAGGAGATTTAGTCCTGTGGCCTCTCCTAATCCAAGGAAAGCTGAGTTGTGGAACCCAGAACCTTTCTCACCATAATGCCCATGTTATTTATTATTAAACGAGATGGTGTGTGTAGAATACCTCCAGTCAGGCGCATGGGAAGAGCTCCGGAATGGCCTCTGCATGGTATCTTTCAAACGCTGATGTCACCATCTGCTTCCTTTCCAGTTTCAAGCCACCGTGGAGGAAGGAGCTGTGGGCGTCATTGTCAATTTGACAGTGGAAGACAAAGATGATCCCACGACAGGCGCCTGGAAGGCCGCCTACACCATCATTAATGGAAACCCTGGGCAGAGCTTCGAAATCCACACCAACCCACAGACTAACGAGGGCATGCTCTCCGTGGTCAAGGTAAGGGTACTCACAATGGCGTCTCTGTCATCCCATGAGCACTGAGTGCCCATGAAGGGTGCACAGGGTTGGGAAGTTTACAGATAAATCCCACTCTCTTCCTCCTGTGAACTCAGACATTTTTACTCTCTGTGGCACAAGCCAAGAGCCTTGAGCCAAACCTGTCTTACAGAACCCACAAAACTCAGGCTAAGTGTGAGTTAAAGAAAGTTCAACTTAGGTCTCTGTCATCCCATGAGCACTGAGTGCCCATGAAGGGTGCACAGGGTTGGGAAGTTTACAGATAAATCCCACTCTCTTCCTCCTGTGAACTCAGACATTTTTACTCTCTGTGGCACAAGCCAAGAGCCTTGAGCCAAACCTGTCTTACAGAACCCACAAAACTCAGGCTAAGTGTGAGTTAAAGAAAGTTCAACTTAGGCTCCTTTAAAAACTTTTAACAATAAAGAGGTTAAAAGGCAGGAAATAACCAGGATTCTCATTCTCTGTCTCTCTGACTCTCTCTCTCTCTCTCTCTCTCTCTCTCTCTCTCTCTCTCTCTCTCCCTCTCCCTCCCTCCCTCTCTCCCTCTCTCTGTTGATAGAGCCTTATGTGGACCAAGCTGGCCTCAGATTCACTATGTAGCCAAGGATGACTTTGAACTTTTTTTATGTGTAGGAGTGTTTTCCTGCATGTTTGTACACGTACCATACAATGCCTGCAGAGGCCAGAGTGGTGTTCGATTCCTGGAACTGGAGTTATGAACAGTTGTTAGCCACCACATGGGTGCTAGGAACTGAACCCAGGTCCTCTGGTAGAGCAGCCAGTGCTCTTAATCACTGAGCCATCTCTCCAGCTCCCAATCCTGAACCCTCCATCCCCCCCGAAGTACTGAAATTACAGGCGTGTCCACCATACTCAGGTTTTGCAGTAAGCACTCTACCAACTGAGCAAAATCCTCAAACCCCAAACAAATGCTCTCAATGAGCC